TAGTATATATATATAGTATATATAATGGAAAACAAAAATAATACATCTTAGGAGTATTTATAAGAAGAAACTCTATAATAATATATTAAATACTCGCAACAGATATTCTCTAAAAATCTAGTTTCACTCTTCTATGCTTCTAAAGAAGAATAAACGTCTCAATTACATATCTTCATGGTGCTATTAGTCTGAGAAAATTTGTAGTATTCAGTATTTGTTCTCAATCCCCAATAATATCAAGTATACGTCTAGGTCTAGAAGTGTACAAATATTTGCCTGCACTGAAATAAAAACTTGATATTTTAATACATTGTGAATTCATTTGATATTTTAAAACATTCTCAAAGATTACACATACAATAATATCATAGCTCACTTATACAAGCCAAAAACTTGATATTTTATATGAAAGTCTTGAGCAAAGTTATAGCTATCTAAATACTTTATATACAAATACCACAAGCATAGCTTTAAAATATATTTCATGCTATTAAAGATAACATACAATAATTATGAAACAAGCATCATGCCCTCTGCTAAAACACCAAAAAGTAAGAGAAGCCAATTGAGTGGAAGGGGACTTCCCCCTCTCTGGAAGTTGTAGCGCTCACCATCATTATCTGTAATCGAGCTTCATTTCGTGTGGGTGGCTCGCTGAATCAGCCACTCGACTAGCTGGCGGTGGTTATTTTAAAATTCTATCAAAATAATGTTCATCTTTTGTCTAAGTCTTTTAAAGAAAAACCCGCCAAGTTCAGTCAGCGATGGTTAATTAACTTAATGCCACAATTGCTGCCAAAGGAACAACCAATTTTCAGTCAGCCAAGGACTGCTTGGCTCCTGCTCGGGCCGCTTGGCCATCTGCTTTCTTGCTGACGCACAAATCAGGCAGAGAAAAAGCCAAAAAGAAAAAAAAAAAGCCAAAAAGAAAAATAAAAAATTCAAATCAAATTTCGTACGTGTCCGTTTTTTGGGGTTGCTTCGTTTTTGCCTTGATTTTTCGTTGTTAAACGATTGGCCAGGCTATCAAATCAAATGCTGCCTACCTTTGGCTACCTTTCGCCACATGAAGATGTGTGGGCGTGTCTGTAATAACAGTATTTACGATACACGAAACCATAAATGCTGATTTAAGAAACATTCGCAGCAACTTGATCAGATATATATGTACATATATGTATATAGAGAGATATATGTATGTATATGTATGTTTGATTGTGGGCAATTAAATGCCATCGCACCTGTACGTGTTGGCCATACCGTAGCCGTGCCAGACAAACGCGTCAAACTATCCTGACGTGACTAATGACCGACGCGAGGCACCCTAGAAAATTGATAAAAATGTGATATACATTTACATTTATTTATGAAAATCAGGAAGCCACAAACAGATCTCACTCAATTACTGTGTGCGTAGCATTTATGGAATTGGGAAATTCACAGACTATTCTGTCTGCCTCGCCTCTGTGGCGTTATCAATGGCAGGTGCCTCTTATCGGCAGCTGCGTAACGATAGCGGCATTTACGCATTTACAGCTAAGTGGGGCAACCAGTTAACACGCCTCCAATTGTCAATTTGGGCTTGGGAATCGCGAACAGCTCGAGGCTGTGACGTCCAGTCCGAGTCGAAGAGATTTGCCGGCAATGTTTTCTGTTCACCTCAGCTTCAATTACCAAAATTACGATATTACCAAATTTTCACTAATTGCAATTTAGGGCGAGTTAATACGGTGTTTGTCACCTGGCGACGTCTATTAAAATTTATTTGTTTGTCTTGCTTCAAACTCAATGAAGCACATGTATGCGTGCACACGCACACACACACGCACATACACACACACAGTGTCACTGCTTCATTGTCTATGTCGCCATTGTTTAACGGTATCCCAATCCACACAATTTGGCGCGCTACGCCTTCCCTTCCCCTCCCTTTCCATCTCGTTCGCCTCTTCGTTCTTTTTGGAGACATTGTTTCAGAGAATGTTGAAATTTATTTCGTCAATTGAAATTTCGTATGGCCAGCGAGTGGGAGTTTTACTTAATGATTATGGATTGGAGTAATGGTCATTGAACTGCTGTTATATATTTATTGTATACTATATATTTATAACTTTGACAAAACTTGAGGAGTTAAACCAGGCCTTGGCCAATCTTATCTAATTTTTTAGGTCTCTTGACTTCAATCGACTCGCCTTTTATTAACGCTTAGGAATATATGCATATATATTAAAATGAGAGAAGAGAAGGGATTGATTAGTGGAGATATTGACCACTTGAGTTGTGTAGGTTTTTGACTTTCAGAAGAGACAAACTAATAATTACTAATAATAATCATTGAGGCAAATTGCCTCAGTTATTGTTTTTGTAGAACAAAAAAGCGACTGTCACGTCTCCTGCTGCCTGTTTCATATTCATAGTTAACACTCAGCAGATTTTATTGTGATTTAATCGCTCCCAAAATAATGATAATAATAATGGACTTTATTTGCTATTGAAAAGTCCCTAGACATGGAAGATAATTATGGGATTGTTATATAGGCATTTGCTTACTTATTTACTTACATAGTCTATTTGGAACCCAATTATTATTATCTAGCAATCATTAACTAAATTTACGTAAAGAGTTAACCTTTAATATTTTTTTCTAAAAGGCGATCTAGGCTTTGCTACTGCCTGCGACTTATAAATGGCAAAGGACAGAGGATATAGAATGTATATATAATAATATATATCTGTTGGTATATATCAGTAAATATATATCTGTCAGTCAGATAAATTTGATTGCATGGCAGAACTACTATAATGGGAAATTGTTTGATAAAAGTTGAAGGTTTTATGCTATATAAATATTGATATTGGTATATGATATATTCTTTACATTGATTCTAGTAGTTGCAACAATTAATATGTGATCAATATATTTCTTTGAAAATAATATAAAAATTGTTAATCATTTTATTTGAAATGAACATGCAGAAAAAGTGTAAAAAATTATTATGATTAAAGTCAAGTGATTTTTATCTTAAATACTAAATATTTAGAATTTTAGTAAGTATCCTCCCCTAAAATAAGAAAAAAAAATCAATTTTAATTTTTAGTTTTTAATTTAATATAAAAATTTCCAAATATGGGTCAACTGATAATATCTGTAATTATGAACTCCCAGGACAAAGCAGTGAACCAGAATTTGCTGACAAACAGCGAAAACTGACGTAAAAATCTACTTTGGAAGGAATTCCCCAAGATACCCAAGGATATGAGCGTAATTATGGCTCATTAGCGGTGGAAATGCAGTTATCCATTTAATGCATATGTAGATATACATAGATATACCGTATATATAATTGAGAAAAAACTGTGAACAACTGTTGAGCTTCAGCTCCGACTTTGCGCTGCCTTTGTAACCGCATACACTGAACTTTGGTTTGGACTGGCTGCAAATTAGAGGGCGAGCAGCGAGACTAGTTAGTAACATACTAAAAATGGGACGACAAGCAGCTAGGGTGGGGCCCTAGAAACTTGTCCCAAAAGTGCGCAAATTTCAGGGACGCAGAGGACGCAGCGGCTACTCCTTTGTCACCAAAGCTTTTGGCTGAGGTCAGGGCACGCCCCAACGAGACCAACTCGCAAAACATGTTGGCGTGAAGCGAGAAACAGAAAACAAAATATAAGGAAAATAGTATATATATTCCCCCGAAGCGTGCCAGACTAAAAAGAGAGACAGACAGAGAGAGAAAGAGAGAGAGAGGGAGAACGGGTTGGCATTTTGATCTAAACTGGACACTCGCAATTGCCTGTAATTAATTTGTTTGTTTGAGCCAACCCACAGGAAGAAAAATGATAAGTACACGTGCAATAGGCCAAGCTCTAAGCGGACAACTGTAAATTTGTTAAGCCAAAAGCTAAGCCTAAGCTCACATGACCAAAAAAAAAATCCATTGCGGAATATGACGTCAAATTGGCAACATTTTCTGCCTTGAAAAAATAAACAACTTTATGATATAATAATATATCATATGTGTTGCGGCTTTCCAGCTTCTATATATGGAAGAGCAACAACTACTCTGCTAGCCACCTAAAGCCTGACTAATCCTTTAAAGAACTGAATAAAACAACAACAGTTTTCAATGCGCTTACAATATATTTAGATAATCAGGTCTTTTAGATAATCAGGTCTGTTCGTATTACAACCAGGCAGAGCCGGGAGTTGGGTTGTGGTGGGCATTGCCATGCAGCCAGGGTGTCAGGCCAATGGTCTCCAGATTGGGCACATGATTCGTGCCGGCAGTGATGGGCGAGAGTGCGGCATCCTTGATGATCGTCAGGTGATGGGCTGCGCCGGCATTGCCGTTACGTGTGAACTGTCCGAACTTGGCTGCTTCGTATTCGGTCTTCTGGATCTCGGCGGCGGCAGCATGAGCGGAGCGCTGCAGCGCCGAGGCAGCCTCAGCCTCGCGAGCGGCGGCGATGCGCTGCTGATAGGCAACGGCTGCCTTGGAGGCGGCCAGACGCTGCTGGGCCAGCACCACAGCCGAGGCAGCAGAGGCCGCCTCCGAGCGCTGAATGGCCGCAGCTGCCTCCGACTTCTGGGTCAGGAGTGCGGCATGGGTCTCCTTCTCCATGGCAATGCGCTGCTGATTCAGCACGTTCTCCTTGGCCGCCTGCATCTGCTGCTGGGCAATCAGCACATTGGCCGACGCCTGCTTGGCAGCCGCAATGGCATTGGCCACTTCACTGGGCGACGGGGCAGTCTTCAGCGGAGCATGTCCAGCACTCCAGGCGGCACTGCTGCCCGCCAGATGGCCAGCCCAGCCGCCAGTGTTCCAGGCGCTGCCGAATTGTCCGCCACTCGTGGCTGCCCAGGGAATGGATACATCGCCAATGCTACGCTTCGGCAGCGCCTTCTCCTCGGACGCACTGCATCCGACTGCAACTGCCAGAGCCAGCAGGAGAAGAGGCAACATTCTTGCTCCTTGTGAGTTTTGATTGATTGTGAATTGCATTTTGCTATAGATTCGAATGCTGCTCCCTGTCGCCTACTGAATTCCTCTGCTGAGGGATTTACTATTTATAGCAGCAACTGTTGCTGCTGCTTCTGCTGCTGTTGCTGCTGGGCTAATCACTCACGTAGGCGTTGGCATCGCCAATTTGGGCTCTATCGCTGTGGTAACTGATTTTATAACTGCCTCAATTTCATGAAGACCAGAAGGAAATGAAAGGCTGCTCCCAATTATCAAAAGCTTAGCTAACGCGATGGATCATTGCGGCTTTCATCATCGACTTCATTGGCTATCGTAACCCAATTTCTGTTTTATTTAAACGGGATTTGAGGCTGACGATGTTGTTGTGCCTAAATAAGAGGCAGATATAAGTACAAGTCTCTAGACAAACTGAATCAGACTCAATTGCATATCGGAAATATATATATTTAATACATTATTATAACTTATCTTTATTGAATATCTCCCTTTACTCATATGACAAATAGAAAATCCTTGGGCTTTAGCATACATAAAGATTTACATAATGTCATTAAAAGGCATTTAAAGCTAGAACTGAAGTTTATTCTGTAAAGGCGTATGTAGATTGAGAGTCCGCTTAGAATTGAGTTTTACTGCAGCTCTTCTGGGCATTCTCTGCTCTTTCATTATCTTCAATAGCAAACTCAGATTAAGTGAAACGATTGAATGAAAGCAGCTCTACTCCAACTTAAGTGTATTTCCAGTAGTTCATTCTCAACTAATATAGTCTTACTCTATTTTCAATTATTGCCTTTGCAGCATGAGTGAGACAGGAGCTCCTCTCAAAGCCTTGCTCTCATTCTTAACTTATATATATATAGGTCTATATTTATTT